GGCTTCGTTGGTATTTTGCCATGCTTTATCCACCTGCTCATTACAGGCACAGTGTTAGTTTGCTCTAGCTTGTTGTCGAGTTGGCTCCATTCAATACTGTTGAGCTATGGTGGTTCTTCGAAGATGGTTGATTGATATGATTCTTGCTGACTTGCAAGCGCCCGAAGGAAAGCGAACTGCCAGGCCTGCTCGCACCATGCTGCTTGCCCCAGAAGGAACGCATTCTTCAATTGTGGCTCTCTAACGGTGGTTAACGGCCATGTGATTCAACTGGGTTCACGAGGTCTCCCGTTTTGTGCCCGATAGGTTGCATGTGGGAAGCTTCCAATGGGGCTTTGTAACAGCAAGGAAAATTTTGTGATCTTCAAACAACTATAGTACTCGCCCTGTTGTGCACGCGGCAAAACTTGAATCCAAATAGATCACCGGGACGTTGATTAAGGGAGCTTAGACGATTGACACGGGCCCAAACATAAAGCAGTCTGCATGCCCACTACAATTTGATAAATAAATTTAACATTCTTATATCACTTGCGAGGATTACAATATCTAAGCCTATTATTTGACGAATAAGCCCGCATTAATCTATAGAGAAATCATCTCTCTCGGCTTTGAGGCATATGCCAACAGTACTAACAAGAATAGCATTTTTACCTCAAGCAGGCTTGATTGAGACAGATAACTGGATGGCGCAAAGACGCTTGTTTACTGGAATGTTACCCAGCACACGCGGCTAGTCCCGGGCCGGGTGCAACACACACGACATCTTCCACGAATCATAGCTTATGGATCACCGGGCGCACGGAAGGAAATTATGGCAGAGCTGGATTGGTCCTTTGCGGTGTTAGATTCACAACTGCGCCTGGGTCTTGTATGCGTGTTTTAGGGACATAGGATACATCAACCTTATAGAGGTATAAAGCCTCGTCGAATGTTGCCTGCTTGCAAATTGTACATAGACTACGGAAATTGAAAGCTCTCATGTGGGAAGTATCTCGTGGAATTATTGTTAATAGGCAGCGGGGTTCATGAGGCACATTGGCAACCCAGCAGCATTTGCATTTGTGGTGAGAAAGGTTTACGGATGGATATCGGCGAATAAAGAACTGTGCGGACAAGTGATAATTCTGGAATACCCGGGCCGAGAAAACGGGTTCGGTTGGGGTACCCACCAAGAGACTTTAGCTCACACGATGAAATGGGAAGTGGGATTTTCTTTGGAGACATTGCATGAAGCCAACGACTCGACAGCTTGACCTGTTTGGCTTCAGAAGGTGTGCCTATTTCGATGGCGTGCGGGAAAAGTCGTTAGTGTCTCACTCCTGACGCGGATGGTCGCAGCCGGTGCCTTTTGAGCGGCGGCGGACTGTGATGTTAAAATAAATTTGGCCGTATTGAAGAGTGCGCTGGTGGTCATGGTCAATCCTTGGGTGACCGGAGGGTACGGGTTTCGGTGCCCACCTTAGCTCGCCAGTCCGTTCTTGAAAAGGGCAACATCGCCGCTTCCATAAATATGGACGTGATGTTCGTATACGGGAGATGCATTGCTGGCTGTATGTGCTCATTTCAAAAACCGGGGCGACTTTATCACAAGATCTCATCGTAGCACTATTACTCGTAATATAGAGTCTCGCTGCCCTTACACTGACGGCTCCTCCCAAGCATTACACATTGTTTTCATCGCCAAAGGATGTCCCAACCAATGAATTGCGCGGACACTGCAGCACTTAACTCTAACAACCACGGCAAGGCCGCAGGTTCGGTAATCACTTTTCGTTCATCGAAAGATAAAAAAGATTCAAATGGTTCAATCGAATGAAATACTAGATTTACCGTGTGGGCGAAGAGTGTTTCCAGTAATCATTTGAGCCTCGGTGAGTGACGCGCAAAACCCCAAAGCCAAAAATGTTGAATATAGGTTTGTCAACAAGCGCGGTAACATGAGCAAAATAGCAAAATAAGAAAAGCATACAAGACTCAAATAGTGTAAACTACGCCAACTTCTGTAGACTGGTTTAGATAACGCTAACTTCTGACCGGTTCCCAAGGTCCACACCGGCTGGAGGTGAGGTGGCCAGAATATGGTGAAATCTACGTGCTGACCTCAACGACACATACGATGAAAAGGTCAGAGAACCGTTTACGTTCAGACCAAAACAAGGAAGGCGGTATGGTCGCAAAACTGAAACGACAAAACGGGGAACTACGTGTACACAGCAAGAATAGAAAAAACGAGTCAGCAACGGAGGGGGTTTTCATCAGGCAGTTCCGTTTCCAAATGAAACCGACATGACAGTGAACTTGGAACCAGATAATTGAGGTCAAGTAGCTAGGGTGGAGGTAATCTTGTTCTGAATTTTCTCAGACATCAGGAAAAATTAGCCGATTTCCTAACTGCAGTTGGCTGGGATTTATCAATATCAATTGCGTTATAGGAGTTAATCAACTAAATGTCAAAGGCCAAAACCAAGAAAAATTGCTTGACCTCAAAAGAAGGATTTTAGAAGGTAAACTCATCGTATTTTGCTGTTCTTAATGAACCGGAATATTCACTAGAATTTTTGTACCAGCACTATAATATGTTTCACTGCGTCACGCTTCTGATGACCGCTGTATTTTTCGAGGTGCGCTGTGCATTTGTTGCCATAGTCAAATTTTGAAGGTAACCAGACCCCTGTCCACACATCTGTAGTGGTTAACGGCCCTATGAAGTCTCTAGCGGACAGAGCAAATTACTAATATAAGCCAGATACAAAGTTACAAGGAGAAAAATCCGAGTAAATCTTGACTCACAGTTCAAAATGAGATGCCGTAGTTCCGTGTTCCGTTGAACCACCACACCAAGAATAGTTCTATCTTCCTGGTATTCCAGATCTCCGGTGATTGAAATGTTAATCCGCAAGTGTGAATATATTAGTCCAGTGTTTGCAGTTGAAATGTTTGTTCACGTTTACTGTCAGCAGCGGTCAAATATATATAACCGGCGGTCACAACAACAGTCAGTCAGCAAAAGTCTCAAAGTCACGTTGGAGCCAACAAGCGGGCGGTAGCGGTTGTATTTCAGTGAAAGAAAATTTTGTACAGCGATGTGACTGATAATGATGGGGAAAAAGATGATACTGAGCATGAAAAAGAGCAGTTTACTAGTGCTGCAGAACCCCCCTCTAGAGCGTCAACTGGGTGAGCAAGACGCTCGAAAAGTAAATGCGTCACGACTGTTAGTCTTGGAAACGAACGGGAAGTTTGCAATGTCGACCAAATCTTGTGAGTGGAGGAGCGTGTGTGGTATTGGTAGTGGCACTGGTCGAAGGAGGGATCGTGTGACTGTGTGGTGGTGCAACGGATGGGGTCGTAGTATGCTCATCATCAGAGGTTGGTCGTCTGTGCATGTAAGCAACTTTCAGTCAGTCGATGCTACCTGTGTCTTTGCGGCCGTCACGACCAATGACGAAAGTTTTGTGTTTGCGGGAAATGACTCTGAAAGACCCTTCTTATGGCGGTTGTAAGAGCTTTCTGACCGCATCNGCAGTGGTAGCTTGGTCATTGAATTGTAATCGTTTGTTGTTTGCTTTGCACAGGTCGGTTAGCGGTGCGAGGATCTCTGAGCAGTGTGGGATGAATCTGCCGTATTAGTTGACCATTCTCAAAAATCGCCGCAGGCTTCGTGTTGACTGAGGTAAGGGATAGTCCGAAATGGCAGTGGTTTTTTCTGGCAGCGGCAGGATTCCTTCGGGGTTAATGCGATGACCGAGGAAGTCAAGCTGGGGTGCTGCGAAAACGCACTTATCTAGATTGATAGTAATACCATATTGTTGAAAACGTTCGAAGACGGCTTGCAAGTGTAGCTTGTGTTCTCCGATCGTCTTGCTTGCCTCCAACACATCGTCAATGTAAGCGAAAACGTGGTCTACACCACGCAGTACCTGATCTATGAAGCGCTGGAACGTTTGAGCGGCATTCCGAAGACCAAAGGGCATGCGTGTGAATTCGAATATACTAAAAGGTGTGGTGATCGCCGTTTTGGGGATGTCGTCGGNGAGTTGTACCATATGGTCAAACTCAGTTTTGGCGATTCGCAGGTCCTCAGGGTGTAGTCGTCGCCGACGAGAGTGAACTGGAGGAACGGTGGTCGGTATGTGGTGCTCGACTTGATCTGGCACACTCGAGACCGAATATGAGGGCTTAAGCGTCGACCTGGACTGATGGAACGGAAAGCGACGCTAAAGAATCCAGAAGCTTTTGCCGCCTAATATCGACGGCCAACGAGAAGTTGGTCAGGAAGTCCGCACCCATGGTTGGGACGTGTACGTCGGCGATAGTGAAAATCCAGGGGAATGAACAGCGAAGACCCAGGTCAAGCGTCAGTGACTTATGACCAAAAGTAGCTATGCGCGTGCCGTTAGCCGCATGTAGTGTCGTTAGCGGGTTAGAAGTGTAGCGTTTTGAGTTTTCGGCAGCAATAACGCGAAGTTCTGCACCGGTGTCGACGAGGAACCGCATTCCGGTGGTTCTACCCGTAACGTAGTAGAGGACACTAGGTGACTGGCCAGTGGCAGCTGTCGCCACTACTGACTATCCAGCGAGTTTCCCTGGTGAGAGAATAGGTGCATGGGGGTGTGCAACGTGGAGCCTTTTCCTTGAATTTTGTGTGATAACAGCAAAATCGGCTGGGGTTCCAAGATGGAGAGTTCGGTTTACGTGAAACCGATCGGGACGAACCTGAAGTGTTAGTCCGCGCCGCTGTGGTGACCACCTTGTTTACCGTATCCACCAGTTGATCGATTTGCGCCTACATTTGATCGAGGCGAGCTATAACATGGTTGTCGTTACGCTGAATGGGCTGTTGTGAGGCTGAGGCTATCAAACGGTCAGTGAAGCACTCGTGAATCTTATCTGCCGTCTCACCGAGTGACGACAGAGAGAGATCTGACTGGGTAGTCAGAATTTGGCGAGTGCTTAAGGCAAGACACTGCAGTCACAACTGTTTTAAAGCTGCGTCGTCAAAAGACTTCCCGCATGCAAGGCTTTGCATGTGCCGTAGCAGTTGCGAAGGTGTGCGATTGCCCAGTTCGACCCTGCAAGCAATTTCTGCAGATTCGCTTCGTCCGAAGTGATTGTTCGTTTATAACTGCTGCTTTTAGTGTGGTGTAGAGATTTAATACCGGCATAGGATCAATCAGGTCAATAACCTCCGCGGCAACCTCGGTCGGGAGTTGAGTAACCACGTAAGAAAACATGGTCTGCTGTGAGGTAATTCGGCGGAAATGGAAGTAACACTCCAGTTGGATAAACCATACTCTAGGGTTACGGACCCCAAAAGCTGGCAGTTTTACGTGAACGGCGTTTTCAAC